TTGGTTGAGTTATGAATTCATTGCAACTTACGGCCCTTCTCCAGTGCAGTTGAAAGGATAAAATTAATGGTTCCCAGAGGTGGCCTTGGGCTCATGGGAGAGGGTGAGTCCCTCGTGGGTCGAGGTCCTGTTCCTTCTGTACCCTCCATCCCCCTCATGGAGGGGTGGGTGGTTGGACTCGGAACGAGCTGAGCCCTGAGGAGAGCTTACCCCAAGTTACTGTTTGGATGGTGGGGTTTACAGGGCTCCTACATTGGAACCAATGAAATGCCTGGTATAGGAGAGTATTGATGATGGATGGGTAGTGCCACTTTCTTGTGTTTTAAGTTTAATAAAAGCCGTGGCCTGCTGCTTAAAATCCATCCATCTCATTTCACCACCATGTCCACATCAAACCTTGGTAGTTAGGAATGTATATCGCCTATGTTACAAATTTCAGCCCTGTGCAATTCACAATACAAATTATTAGCACTATCTCTTCATTCTTTCCTTGCTTATGATTCTTGAATCTTCAGAGTCTTCACATGCTTAAAACCAGTGTTACTACATTAAATAGGAACATGGATTTGTAGCTAGGTTCAAACAAAACTCAAGAAATGTTTGAAAAGGTGCAGCATATTTAAAGGTTGTAATGTCCTGCTTTTTCCCCAGAGGCTTTGTATACTGTCGTAACGAGGAGTTGGAGACTGGATGGGTTGCTTTTGGCAATGGCAAACTTCTTCATCGGCCTGTCTCTTTTGATAATAAGCCTCACTCCCTTTTCCAGGTCATTGACCAGAATACCCTTCAGGTAAAAAAAACCACCAAAACCTTCATGCCTTTATTTCATAATCATAATATAGTAAGGAAATGTTCTTAAATTGTCAAAAATAATAATAATACTGATGTACTTGCAGCAAAATTTCTAATTCAAATTTAATTAGTTCTCTTGTGCTGGGAGTTTGCTTTTTCCCTCCATGAAACATCTTCTGCAGATTCTCACTGGTAGAGTTGCATGTCATGCCTCACAAACCATCTTACAAGTTACATTGTGTTACAGTGTTTGTGCGCACACATCACAAATTAATAGTATTTTAAAACAAAGCAAACTGATATTTCTCTTTAAACCAAATAGATTTAGAGCCTACCTATCCCCGATGCCTCCATTTTTCTTAAGTACAAGAATAATTGGCACCTTCACTTCTCGCTATAATTGTGCTTTCCGACGAGCAACTATCCCTCCTGACAATGTTTTTCCATTGTGGTTTAAAGAAGTTTCACTGAAGAATAAGGAGTAAGGCTGTTTGTCTGTTTCCAGCCATATACAATATGTTTCCTCAAATTAAGTGTTTGGATTCCTCATTAAATGAGCTTCCTTCCAGAATTTTGAGCAGACGTTTCGGTGAAGTAGGATAAAGCAGAGAACTATATTAATATTTACATTTTGCTAATGGTACTATGTACATTTTTCAGCAATTTGAAACCATGATCTTTTGTCTATTTTTAGATGGATAACTGTCTTGCTAGCATGGAATTTGTTAGTACGTAATACATCTATTTGGTGAACTGTATTCGCCCTCAAATCATAGCAAATTATAACTAGATAAGTGAGCCTAATGAGTCTTGCTCTAGAATAACTAAAAACACGCACTTTTTAAATTAATAGTCTGAAGAACAGCTTCAAAATGTGAACTGGACTCTCCTTCTTTCTTGCTTTCCTACTGATCTCTAGGTATGTCACATACTCCCCATGCCAGTAAATCACTTCCCAGTTGGCAGTACTATGACCACAGTACATCTTTCTTCAGATGGTACCTATTTCTACTGGATCTGGTCTCCTGCAAGCCTGAATGAAAAAACACCAAAGGGACACTCTGTCTTTATGGATATTTTTGAACTTATAGTAAGTATATTTTCAATTAAATTAGCAATTTATTTGTTTATTTGTAGCAGACTTAGTTTAGTGACATGAATAACACTTCTTAAAATAGTAACATTTAATAAAGTTACTGGACATGTTAATTGTTCATTTGAGCGCTAGTACAGAACTTCAGGAATACAGTCAAAACATTACAAGCAGTTGACATAGTGTTTAATAGGATGAAAAGCCATACTATAAAATCTGCACTTCCAAAGGACATTCCAATATTGCAGTCTTGCTTATAACATGTGGTGTTAGTGTGAAATATATTCTAGCATCATTATTACTCTAAGTGCCATGTACTAAGTGGAGACTGCTTACTCTGTATTATTGTTTTAAAACGCAATAAGATCATTTTAATAGAAGTTGTCTATATAAGGCTAAAAAAGTGCACTTTATCAGTCAAGTCTACATTTTATGCTGATTTTTTAAAATTATTTATTTACATTTTGGATCTATACATGACAACGGTTTGGATTCCTTTCCTCTCAACAGCTCCTATACATCCTTGGTTGATACTCCTGAGGTGCAGAAGAAATGTTAAAAATGTAACACTCAGGTTTAAAGCTTGCACATAATTGCTGATATTTATTTAAATGGCACAGTCTCCAGCAGTTTAAACAACTTCAGTTCTATAGAAGCTGAAACCACATCAATTTATTAACTTTTTTGGCATTGGTACAACCCTTAGTATTGTCAGTACCAATAGACTTGTGCAGTGGTATATTGGAAGCAGTATAAATGGTAGAATTGATGAGCAAGAATCAGAAAGGTAAGACTGAAAGGCACCTCAGTAGGTCATCTAGTCCAGTCCCCTGCACTTAGGCAGGACTTAGAATTATCTAGATATGATACAGCTGTAGGCAACAGTGCAGGTTCTGACTCCGTAACTTGCGGCAGACTCCCACTGTACTGACCCCCTGAACTACTATTCTCCAATTTGCATGGAATCTTGGGAATGAGTTGAGGACTTAAAAATAAATCTAATTTGGCAAACATATAAAGGGGAAGGGTCTTCCCATTCTTAAGGTAAGAGATTCTCCAATTCATTTCCTTTGTATATTACTAGAAAAAATGAGTTTCAGTTTCCGAATGACCTCCAGTTGGGTCCCTCCAGAATGTGAGCACTCTGGGCGGGTGGTTCTGGCCTTGGCGCTCTGTTAGGAACGTCTTGTGCAGGGGAAGCACTTTAGAAAAAGCTTTCACTCATTCCTGTAGAGAACTCAGCCACTGTCTGACTTTTTGTGGAGTTATTAGTTAAAATACTCAATTTATTAAATGTCTGATCTACACTAAATATTTTTAGCAGCATAGCTATGTTGATTAGGGGTGTGCTTTTTAAAAAAAAAATGACAGCTGTATCTGTGCTTATGCTAATGTAACTTATATCTGTTCTCTGAATACCAGTATATTAGTATAACTATACTGGTAAAATCTTCTTGGGTTAGACACGGCCTAGAACTTTCCCAGAACTGCATTATGTAGGGAAAATCTTCCATCCAGTTTTTCAGCTAATGTGTGACTTAGACTTTTACAAAACTTACTCAGAAAATAAAAATAATTTTTAGTATATTATATTTGTTATAGTTAAAAAATCATCTAAATACTGGGTTTTGTATAATGTTAACTTCAACTTTATTTCTGGAAATTTATTTATGGCAACTGGACTATTACTGCTGTATTTTCCAAAGTAAGAAATGTCTAAAGATGATCAGTCATGATATGATTTTGGCCATGATATAATAATCTGTATTTCTAGGTATTTCAATCATACCAATCACCCTGGTATCAGACTTCCTTGCATACATCTGGATCTGGTTTTTGCTTCTCTTCTCATTTTGCGAGCACGGAGGAATAAAATCCTCAATATCTTAGGGACTTAAATATCTAAAGATCTTTTTTTTTTTCATTTGCATAGGTAGAAAATGATATATGTATAGCAAATCCTCTACAAGAGCGCATTATACTAATGAGAAAAGAGGGAGAATCTGCAAAGAGTATAAATGAGATGCTTCTGAGTAGGCTTTCAAGGTACAGAGCTTCCCCATCAGCAACACTGGCTGCTTTAACTGGCTCTACAATTTCCAATACATTGAAAGAGGACCAAGCAGGTCAGAAGAGTTCTCTTCTCCTTTACTATAATTTTTCACTTTTGTTTGGAGTGATGCATATTTACAAAATTATTTCTCTAACTGTAGAATTTGAAAATCCTACATACCTGTACATATAGTGTCTTTAAATTTAGGCTCTTTAAACTGCCATCAATATACATTACTGTTACGAATTTCTTAGAATTTATTAAAATTCTTTAAAGTTGTGTGAATTTCTTGTAAAGATGATTGCTTTTGGAATACTTCATGCAAATACATACTTCAGTGCAAGTGCTTAACATTCAAAGTTCTAATAGCAAAATAACAGTTCATATTCATGTAAAATACACTGCTGCAAGGAAAAAAATTGATCATGCAAAAACTGTAGCCGTCGTAAACACAGCGCCCTTTTGTTGCTAGTTTACGGCTCAATTGTGCCACCCTTAGTCTGATTGATAGTCCCATTGAAAGCTATAGGACTATTTCAAGAGTTACTCCTGGAGGAATCCTGCACTACTGCATGTTTGCATAATTAACGAGCTGTGCATATTAATTTTTTGTACAGAAAAAAGCTTCTGCCAAAATGTTGCTGCAGTTCTGTCTTTTGCTTACCAGAGGGTACTGTGGCAATAGAACACAGCAGCAGCTCCCAGCTAGTGAGGGAAGAGAAAGAGCCTGCCTTCTTTGCAGCGCCTGTCAGGCCAGGCCAGGTCAGGAGACAGGGGCTATGGGAAGACAGACACTGGGGGAGGACAGACGGGCCAGGGGCTGAATGGGAGTGGAGGCACAGGGCCTTGGCGGGAGGGAGGTGCTGGGCTACATAGGGACAGGAGGTGGCTGAGTGGGGGCACAGAGACACATGGGGAGGGAGTGCAGAGGTAAATAGGGACGGGAGTGGCTGGGTGGGGGTACAGAGACCCATGGGGACAGGGGAGGTGGTACAGGGACACATAGGGACAGGGGAGTGGCTGGGTGGGGGCACAGAGACGCATGGGGACGGGGAGGGGGTACAGAGCCATTTGGGGACAGGGGGAGGGGTGCAGGACCACATGGGGATGGGGGGAGTGGGTGTCTGAGTGGGGGTGGAAGGACACATGGGAGTGCAGGAACACAGGAACAGGAGCAGATGTGTCTGACTGAATGGGAGAGGCTAGGTGTCAGCCAGGGTCTGCATGGGGTATGCTCCCTAACAATACCTCCCCGCCCCTCCTCCCCAAAAACCTCTTCCATACTTTTCCCACCCAGACCCAACAACCCTCCAAGTTCACACCCAGGCTCCTTCCCAGCAATTTATTTCCATCTCCCTCAGCTCCTCCGTTACCCCTGACTTTCCCAAGTCTTTGCACTGCTTCTGAGGGGTGCTGGAAATATGGTTCTGTATTGTAGTTTAAATGAATTACTCAGAGTTCTGTATTAATATGCCTAGTAAGGAATCTATTTGTCAAAAAACATTTACTGAATCCTTTTTGTTGTCTGTATTGTTACAGACAAACTTGCTGAAAGGTATTTTGAAATAAATGACCAAAAATAATTGAAACTGGTGTGATTACATTGTGTTATTTTGACAAGTAAAATATGCAGAATTTTGAAATATTGTGTGCAGAATTTTTTAATTTTTGTTGCAAATTTTTTAATTTTTTGGTGCAGAATTCCCCCAGGAGTAAAGAGTAAGGTATCACTCAGTATTTGTCACTGGCATAAAATATTAAGAATATGATATTCTCAGTAGACGTAGGAATTGTAGAAAAGTAGGGTAAAAAGCAAATTAATTTGTAGTGCAGATTGATCTTGAATTATTTTTACAGGCCATCTGGATCCCTCTGTCTCAATGTTATTATAAACTCCTTTAATTGGACTAAAAAGAAAAATTCATCAGCCATAACTTATAGAGCTTTCCTAGATTTTGGTGAAACTTATTTCACTGAAGATCTCATAATACTTTGATTTTAGTCAGGTAGCTCCTCTCTTCTATTTAATTCTACATTTCCAAAAGATCAATAGGAAAACTGAATGTCCAAGAATAAAACTAATGGCTAGACTATGGGACTGGTGTGTCAGACAAAACTGACTTGATTACCTTCCCAGAAAATTAATTTTATTGTCAACTCCATGGTTAAGTGATTATTTGTTGTTGTTGTTTATGTCCTTAAAGGACCAAGATATCATCTTTGATATGGGGATGGGGAGATACAGCCTGTGAAGGGATTTGAGGAGAAGCAGAAGGTGGTTGGAGTGGCAACCAAGAGGAATTTAGCAGATGTATTCTGAATTGATTTGAGGAGGATCATATGATTTTCATGGAGACCAAAGATGACGTTGGAGTAGTCATGTGTAAGATTATCAGGATTTAGGCCAGAGTTTTGGTAGGGGGTATAGAAAGGAAAGTTTAGATTCTGGAGATAATGTAAAAAGAAAGCTGACAGGTTTTCATGATAGATTTGATCTGGGGAGAAAATGAAGGAAGAGTAAAAATAACCCCAGGATTGTGAGCCTGTGTCGGGAGGGAGAGGTGGGAGTAATGGAATTGCCAATGAGATGAAGATAGGAGGAAAATGAGAGGCTAGATGCATAAGTGATTTCATAAGGATTTTAAAATGTCGTTAGTAGTACATTGAGGCAATACTTAGAGGCCTTAAAAATCTTCCAAGAAATCCAAAGGATCTTTTCCTTCAGAAGATGTTTCACTGTTAGGCTATAAATAAAGGCTTACAGGGAACCATTGACAAGCATAACAATAGCATGGTGAATTATTTTCTTCTGGCATTATTAATCCTTACTATGAATAGGATACTTCAGAAAATCCTAAATCAATTTCCAGTAAGTGTCCCAAGCTCTCAAAATGAACTTTAACATTTCTGTTGGCAGTAGAAATTGTTAATCATATTCTTAGTTTTTTATGCCAGTGACTGTGTGTGTTGTGAAATTTCATTATACGTGTGTAGACTCGTATTGAGGTGAGGGATACTCCAGTGGTGATACACCATATTGCTTGGGACATCAATAAACAAGTGGTCCAATTCCCATTCAAAGCACTCATCGAGTACTCTTTTCACACTGGAGCACTGTTGGAATTGCTTTTTGGGCACTATTCGGCAGTACCTCTTCATTATTGATGAAATAGCAAATATGTGTGACATAGTTATTGGTATTCTGATTAATTGTTTATATATTACAGTATTACTGTTCTTTATGACCTTATTGAAACTACTATATTGGTTTCACTTTATTCAAACACCCTGTCTAAACTATTGTACTGATCACTTTCTTTGCATTCTGAGGATTTTTTTAAAGTTCCTTTTCAGGACAAACTTTCTACGTGTATGTCTTGAATAGTTCTCTTCCTTTTTTCAAATATGCATTAAACAACCTGGAACCCTGGGTTTACTGACTAATGGTGAGATTACTGTATGCATATGGATTTTAAAAATCTCGTGGATCCAGTTACATGTTGTTATAAGTTCCTCAGTTAAGAAAATGCTCGCTCTCTAACCAGTGGAATGTACATTTACACCACTGCAAATATTTTCCAAATGTTTTTGCACATCCCCATTAGATTATGACAGGGAGTGGAAAGAGGTATAATGGAGATCTTGTAAAAGCTGTATGTTGCCTAGTAGTGAATAGGAGTGCTTCAGAAAATAAAATATGGGTTCCTCTTGAACAGTATTCAGAGCAATGTTGATCAGCTTTGGCTGGAACTCCACCCTCACCTTCTTGGCTGGAAGTTAGATCACCATGCTTTACTGGATATGGGACCAGGGTAGGGGGATTTCAAGGGATTAAAAAGTGGTAGTGAATGCCTCTTGTCTTAAAACTTCCTTGGGCTTTAAAATGTTGCTCATGATATTTTACCATCTTAGACATCCCTAGGACAGATTTTTGTTTGCTTCTCTGTATATTATACCTTCTATTAGCTTTTAGGTTTCTATTTTTTTCCCGATGTTGTTTGTTGTTTGTTTGTTGTTGTCATCATCGTCATTATGGAAACTAGGGCTTATTATTTTTATTCATATTTAAAGATCGTTTTATTCAAATTATATTTTAAAATGCCACTGAAACCATGCATGCCCTCTGAGGAATTATCTCCTAATGAGTGGAGGGGATCTTTAGAGTCCACTGGCCAGCCCCACAAGTAACTTCCAAAGCCTGCAAAAATGTTAGATTTATCAGTATTTCTGAAGGATTTAGTTAAACTCCAAAACAGATTATATTTAGGACTCCTATCTTGCTTGCTCTCCATATCTTACTAATTGTTTAGAGAAATAATTGTTTGATTCATTGCTTTATTTAACATTTCAGCTGCTAACACTAGTTGTGGGCTACCACTAAAAATGTTACGAAAGACTCCAATGTACACATGTGGAACATATTTGGTGATGTTGGTCCCACCTCCAGGTGGGTCAGGCAGCTCTGCGACTGAAACGACTTGCTGAGGCGGTCCGCCAGCTCATTCTGGACCCCGGGAAGGTACGACGCCTGTAGACTGAGTGTTCTATACAAAAGTCCCAGAACCTGAGGGCTTCCTGGCACAGGGGAGAGGAGCGTGCACTCTCGTTCGTTGATATAGAACATCTCAGTCGTATTGTCCATCATG